CATTGTAAGTTTGTTCCTGTGTGATGTTAGCATTTGGTTCTGAACCTCTAAGAAACTGGTCTGGAATCTCCCTGCTTCCCATAAAGAGCTGGTTTGGGGTCTGACATGTACCTCCATTTATCATTTTGAAGAGAATCCCTATAAGGAATATTGCTTCATTTATAGTGCAGCTCCTCAAACTTTAATCTGCATACAAATCACTCAAATAGATACTCATCTACCACTTCTGCTTGGTGTTTCTCCTTAGCACTTAGCATCTTCTAACATACTACATATATAATTATTTATCACATTTATTGTTCGTGTTACCCCCTAGAATGCAAGCTGCACAAAGGGAGGGATTTCTGCCTGTTTGTATCTCTGGTGCTTGGCTCATAATAGGCACTAAATAAATATTTGTGGAATGAGTGAATAAATATTTAACTCATCAATTTAAATTGCATTTTAAAGTATTAAGTACTTGCTACATATCAAGCATTGTGAGAGGTGCTTTGTGGAATACTAAAATAAGATAACAGTGGGCAAAAAAGAAAAAAATAAATACGGAGTCCTCCCTTCTGGAGTTGACAGGCTAGTGGGGAGACAGACGTGTAAATAAACGTAATAAAGGCAGAATAATCAAAAGCATGGTAGAGATGCAGCCAAATACAGGTGGAGCCCAAGGAATCAAGTATGTATTCCGACTTGGGGCAGCACGAGGAGACTAAATGGAGGAGGTAGCACTTGAAGGATAGTAGAACTTTTACCTGTGGGGAAGAGGAAGAAATTCCAGGTAAAGGGAACAACTGGAGCAGAGGCCCGGAGACAGAAAAATATCCTTAATGTTTCATTCAAGAGATACTTTCTCTACTGTAACTGAGGCATGGGGAGAGGGTTGTATGAGCAATAAGTTAGAAAAGGTTAACTGGGGCCTGATAGGGTGAAAACATGAAATAGAGTCTCTCATATTATGGTCCTTAGTTGTAGCCAAACAAGAAAAATACGTTTCCCCAGGCCCCTACTGAGCTATGCATGTGTATATGCAAACCTCCACTGGTGGTCCTGATGGGGAGCTAGAGTTAAGAACCACTAACTGAAAAGATAATTTGGGAGGCAGTGTGACTAGGAGGAGGCAGAGGCTAGAGGCAAGGAATCCAGGTAGAAGACTTGCAAAACCCAGGGAGTGTTTGTGGGAAAAGAGCAGAGGAATCCAGTTTAAATTAGTGAGGAGAGGTTGGTAGAAATCTTATCTGCTAAATGTTGAGAATAAATCAGGACCCATAGGCTAGAAACTAGTTTCAGCAATCCTCTCTTTGGCCTTCCTGCTTCCAAGAATTTTTCCTTTCTCTTTTGGGACCACGAAGTACAGCTTCCAACAGGTCTTCAGAGGTAGGATTACATAGTAATTATATATTACATATATATAATTTTGTATACAATATACTATTCTATACACCATATAGAGTCAAAGGACTTACCCTGTTTCATGAACCTTGGGTAAGTCCTTAAACCCTCTAAGTCTGTTTCCTCATCTGAAAAAGGGAAAAAACAGGAATAAATCTGTTGAGAGGATTGAACATGAAAACACTTAAAGCACTTAGTTGAGTACCTGGCTGTGATAGTCAAGATGGATTATGTCATGCTACAGTAATGAAGAATCCCCAAATATCTGTGGTTTAAAGTGAGATTTACTTTTCAATCATGATACATGTCCACTGAGGGTCCGCGGGGGAACTCTGTCCATTGTAGTTACTCAGGGACCCAGGCGGACAGAGTAGCTACCATGTTGACTATTGTCCTTCTTTATGTCAAAGGGAAAGAGAATGCTAGAGGGTCTCACATTGACGATTAAATGTTTGACTCAGAAGAGGTACATGTCACTCCCACTGACAACTCATTGGCCAGTGCCAATCATTTGGCCTCACCCACTACAAGGGGGCTGGAAAGTGCAATTGACGGTGTACCCAGGAGATAGGAGAGACTGAAATATTAGGTAGGGTTTTATTATTGATATTTACTTATACTCTAAGATCTGCAATGTTAATTTTCTTCCTTCCTATACCCCCACCTCTTCCTTGAGCCCCCATTTCAGGGGGCTGCAATCCAATAACCACCTGTCTCCTGACTGGTAACAGCCCTTACGGTGCCCTCTTGTGGTACCTACAGCTATTTCATTAGCCCTCTGAGGGAACTTAATTTTGAGCCCTCCGGAGTGAAATTTACCCTAGCAGAGCTGTATATAATAGCATTACTTTTCCAGTTTGCCCTACTTTGTAGGCCCCATAAAAGCATGCAGGGTAAGCCCTTATATTGCAAGACCACACTTTCAGGAGTACCCTGTGAAATCTATCTTTTCTTCTTGGCAAGAGTATCCAAATTTCAAGTATTTAAAGGACCTGGGTACAAAACCCAACATTTTTTCACTGTTCACATCGTTTTTATTGGCTAGAAACTCCCCTTCTGTCTCCAATACCCTCTCCTTTCTAATAGTACATATTATGGATATAAATATTCATAGAGATTAAGCCAAAACCATTATGTGATTCCTGAAGGCCTGTCTGCAAACTCAATCGGAATAACAATCCTTAATTACAAGAATAATAGAGAAAAGTTGCTTCTGAAGGAACTATAATTTCACATTCCTAGTCTCCTATTGTGGCTTCTTAACTGGAGTCCTCAGACACCTGGCTACAACATTTCCATATTATTTGTTTCCTTTGTAATACCATGTATTGTATTATATGCATCTAAAAACATTAATTTGAGAAGGCATCCCAAACAGCCTCAGACTGCTAAAGAGTTGCTTGGCATGTTAAGAACAGCTGTAAAAAGTTCTAGGCGCTAGGGTGAGGTCTTACCACAGGGTGGTGCTATTGCTTTAAGAATAAGGAAGAGTAACGCCAGCTCCTTGAACAAGAATACAAATGATCTCAGGGAAGCTTGAGAACAAAGGGCTGATGTGACCACAGAAGGTTGTAATAGTCTTAGTCTTAAGGGAAAGTTTCAAATTCCAGTAGATAAAATTCAAGTCCATTAACTAAGATGTTATGATCTAGTATATAAAATGTGATTGGTTACGGGTTTTACTGTTTTAAAGTACATAACACAAAACCGCAAGATTTTGAGGACCTGTTAGCCAACCAATTCCCCAAACATTTCTTCTACACAGTAGTATAGGTTCTCTTCAACACACAGAAGGCTCACTGTGGTATCATTTTTCTTGTCTATGTTGTGAGGGTTTTCTTCTTCCTGTTAGCTCCATTCTGGATTTTTGTATGTAGACATCACACTTAATATGCACTGAATTCCTTCTAGATTGAATCATTTATTAGATATACACGGTAAGTTCAAAAGTAGAAATAAACTCCTGAATAGGAACTGAAAATCATATGATGGAAATTGCAGGAAGAATTCAAGGAAGGAACATTAAACAGCGGGTTATGCTGGCAAAAGCAACACATACTTGAAACAATTTGCTTTAAAAGAATTTGAGGAAGAAGGTGGTGGTGGGAAGTGGATGGTAGTATAGATGAAACAAGATGACCATGTTATCATTGTTAAAGCAAGGTGATAGGAAAGTGGGGGTTTATTTATTTTTGTATATGTTTGAAATTTTTCATTAAAAAAGAATATTAACATATACATAAAATAAAATGCTAAAGGACTGCGTAAGTGAATTTCTGGTGATCAGCGTCAGATGTGTGAGAATACACACCAAGCCACAGAATTAATGGAAGGGAAGGATGAATACTAATGTAGAGAAGGTTGTAAGACACAGGAAATGAATAAACTGGAGGAAAGTGTAATACAGAATTTATGCTACTCAATCCTCATGTAAGTTAAGCTCTTTTGGTGAGAAAAAGAATTTACAATATTTTTTTATCACACCTACAAGTCAGTTTTTTCATTTTGCTGAGGAAGACTCACCCTGAGCTAATATCTGTGCCAATCTTTCTCTGTTTTTTAGTATGCGGGCCACCAGCATAGCATGGCCGCTAAGAGAGCTGTATAGGTCTGCGCCTGGGAACCAAACCTGGGCCGCTGAAGCAGAGTGAGCTGAACTTAACCACTAGGCCACCAGGGCTGGCCCTAAAAGTCAGTTTTTATGAAAATTTAACTCTCCTGGCCTTTTGTTTGGGGGTAAGGGGATTTGTGAGTGGGTCAGCAAAGAACTAAACTCTTTCTTTTAGGAAACACTTTCTTTTCAGCATTTTTAGGCAAATGGGGCTTGAAGAAAGGTGGTCGTTCCAAATAGCTTTGTAAATTCTTCATGGCTTAAAAAGAGATGATTTAATTAGTTTATTTTTATTATCCATGGTCCTCTTGAAGATATTTGTTTTGAGAAATTTGTTTTCTCACCACTGACAAATGAGGAACTTTCCAGTTGTTACAAGTATATATCATTAGATTTAATATTTTTGAAAGGTTAAATGAAAACACTTTTTTTCCATGATTACTTCCATTTCTGCTCTAACCCATAACAGAAAAAAAATCTTTACTTTAGTTTTCCTTAGCACTCAGAAAACCCCTTGTGTTTTTACTTTTTGCAGGATAATGTAAAGAAGACATTTCTATTTTTAGTTTTACAATAAGTAGGAGTCAGAACTTACTTTCTGTCAATACAAGAATAACACTATCCTCTTGACTAAAAGAAATAATTTATTAATAGTCATACACTGCATTTTTACTTAAACCAAAAATAATCTATAACCCAATTACTAATTCAATCAGTTCATATGTGGGGGGTGGGGTAACATTTTGGATTACCTACAATTTAAGTCATCTCACTGGTAAACCAATTTTGTTTTCCTCCCATACTCTGTCCACCATTAAGGTTCAGCTATGGACTTGGAAGAAAGAGGATATGACTTAGAGGAAGTGGAAAGTCTAAATGTTGTCCCTCCTGTTTTAGTCAGGGTTCTCCAGAGAAACAGAACAACGGAATATATATAATTATATATAAAAGGAGATTTATTATAGGAATTGGCTCACATGATTATGGAGGCTGAGAAGTCCCACAATCTGCCATCTGCAAGTCAGAGACCAGGAAAGTCAGTGGTGTAATTCAGTTCAAGCCCAAAGGCTTGAAAATCAGGGGAGCCAATGGTGTAACCTCCAGTCCAACTCCAAAGGCCCAAGAACCAGGAGCACCGGTGTCTGATGTCTGAGGGCAGGAGAAGACAGATGTCACAGCTCAAGGAAACAGAGTAAATTTGGCCTTCTTTCTCTGCCTTTTTGTTCTATTCAGACTAGTAATGGATTGGACGATGCCCTCCGGCATCAGCGAGGGCAATCATCTTTACTGAGTTTACCAATTCAAATGCTAATCTCTTCTAGAAACACCATCACTGACAAACCCAGAAATAATGTTTTACCAGCTATCTGAGCATCATTTAGCCCGGTCAAGTTGACACATAAAATTAACTGTCATATGGCCCTAGGGGATTGTGGGGCAGGAGAAGGGAGACAGATTTAGGGGTGAGTATGAAATGGCCTAGTCTCCCCTCTCTGAGCTTTAGCCAGAATGGGACCATCCCTGGCAGAGGGCTTTGCCTCATTCCACATTTGGGGCTCCAGAGGGAGCTCCTACACCAACCTAGGGGCAGCCACAGCAAAGATCTTTGCGGCACAGCCTGATTGCACAGAAGGTAGGTCTAAGTTTAGTTTTCCTGAGCTGCCTTTGGTTTCCAGGCGGGAAAGATGGAAAATTCCTGCGTCTCTGAAAGGGCACACAGAAGGTTGGCCTGCTGTGGAGTCTGCTATGGCAAATAACTTAGGTGGGCATCGCAGGTCAGGACTAGACATAAGAAAGGCAGGCTCTTAGAGGAATCTTCAGCATCAGTTGAGAGCCAAGGCAAGGCTGAGCTATCTAGAGAGTGCCACCAGGTTCCAACCGAGCTGAGAGATACCACCATGAGGTATCCCACTGCTGACTTCAGCAGCGGGTAAATGCACAGGGATGAGACCAGTCACCCTTCAGCACTAGGGAGCACCCAGAACAGCTACTCAGTGGCAGAGAAAAGCACTGATCCAGAAGTCACCACAAAGATTTGAGAGCTTTGTCTCACTTCTGCTGTCATGAGAACATCTGGCTACTGCCCTTGCTCTACTACTTGACAAGTGGGGGCATATGAAGGAAATCAGATTAATTATACACCAAAAAAGAAAAAACTATGTGCTTTCTACACATCTGAGTGTAGTGTGAATATTTTTGAATCCTTATTTATACAGCCATAAGTAAATATGAACATTTTCTAGGCTTTTTCAAAAAAATCAGGACCGTATATAATGAAAAAATTAGTGAAAAAGTTCCTTTAGTGGTTTAATCATAGTTTAAGTTTATGATTTATATTGCCTCTACTTCACAAAAGGAGTTGAGATCATTTACAATAAAATAATGATAGCTAATGTTTATTGAATGATTCCTCTTTCCGCCAGGCACTGTTTTAAATGTTCTAAAGTATATCATTGAATCTACAAGGCAAGTGATTTGGATTATATCCATTTTATAGATGAGAGAAATGAAGCTCAGAGGGGGAGAGCAACTGGCCCAAGTTTTCCCAGCTAGGAAGTGGAAGAGCTGGGCTACAAGCCTACTTAGTCAGCCTCTAGAGCCTGTGTTTTTAACCACTATGCTATTAAAATAAAAATTTAAATACCACAGGAAGAGAGGTAACAATTATGTTCAAAGATGGCTAACATAGTCTTCATAACCAAATGTTAAATTTAGCTTATTGTACCTCCAGGCCAATTAAAATAGACCTTTGTTTATCAGGTGACCAGAATTGAACTAAGAAGAATTTACAAAAAGTGATGTTGGACATTCTGCTCAACACTGTTTACAAGAATTTTGCAAAAGAGCCCAAGATAATAAAAATAGCTGCTAAATACCATAAAAGTAGCTTGAACTTTTTGCAATGTGTCAGGCATTGTGTCAAATACTCCACATGAATTATCTTCCCTAATGTTCCTAATAAATGCTCTGAAGGTGGGACTTTATCTTTATTTTACAGATAAGAAAACTAAGGCTCAGGGAAAGCTTGAGGCCCCATATAGTAAACAGCAGTGTTGGGATTTGATCCTGTATGCTTGACTGTCACATGATACTGCCTCCTGCGACTACACAACACCACGATGTTCATCACATGGTCACTGCCAGGATTCAGATGCTGGTACAGCCACACAGGTTACTTACAGTTCGCATCCCTTCTGATTGGTCAGTGCCCATGCTGTTACTTGTTGTCATACATTTCTAACACCATCTTTGTCAAGTTATGGTGAAAAGAGTAGGGCAAAATAATATCCTTTATTGTAGAGTCAAAATATGTTCTCAATCAGTAAAAGAGACTCCTGTTGTGAAACTTTGCACAAATGAAAATAGGAAAATAAAGATAAATTCCAAATATGAAAACTCATTATTCCAAATAATTTGAAATGGCCAAACTGGATGTTTTGGCAACTGGTGATTTTATACAAGAAAAGTAATTGGTGATGAGTTAGCAGTCTGGTTAAAGATCAAGCCTTTTTTTTTTGGAATCAGTGATTCTGCCTGCAATGAGAGGGTCAGAAGAGAACAAATTATAACAAGGGTTGCTGTAGGTCACATTTTGTTTCTAAAGTGTGGTGTTAAGGGCTGGTGGCAGTGAGTATAAGTGCTAGGCCTAATGCTGGGACCAGAAGCAAATGATGGGCGAGTATAGGAAATAGGAATTTGGCCCAGGGAGAATGAGTGGGCAGTGAGGAAAGCCATCCTAGTAAGCTTGAGTCCAGAGAGAAGATCTGTAGTCAAAGCAGGTCCAAGCATGACCTGGTTGTCACAGGGCCAAGAAAACTAAAAACATCGAAGACATAGTAAATGCCTAAAGTTTTAACAGGAACATGAGTTTTTCCCCTGGGCCCCCTCAACTCATGGGACAGTCTTCAAGAGACAGCACAAGTGTGCTCTTTGTTCCTTCTTTGTCCCTTCCTCTGTCTTGTGGTTTAGAATGTGTGTATTGCCATCTTGGACCATGACGTCAAATCTACACAGAGAAGAGCAAAAAGATAGAGAGAACCTGGTCTCTGCACCTCCTGTGATGCACCATACCACCTCTGGGCCTCTGATATAGACTTTGACTTGGGAGGAACAAGTTTTGATGCTGTTTAATTCATATTATGTTGGTTATTGATCACCTGCTACTGAACCTAATTCTAATAAATACACCTCTTATCACAGGTGAAGTTCCCCAGGAAGCAGACCGAAATGGAGATCAGCATGCAGGAAGTATATTAAGGGGTGTTCTTGGAATCTGTAGTTGTGGAAGAGAAGGAAGCAGGATTGGGCAGAGGGAGATGAGCTGTGATGGAGTCACAGCAAAGGCCTCAGCTGACCTCACAAAGAGCTCTGACGCCGGTGTGGCCATTGAGAGTTGGCCTGAGTAGAGGTAAGTTGGCCCAGCCTTTATGTTCTCATGTAGATCAGTCACTGATTTGACCAGCCTATTATGGGCTGTCCCCAAGGAAGGGAGTATGCCCTTGGTTCAGGCAGATCTCTATGCTCAAGGTACTTTCCGAAGAGTGATACAGATGAAGTGTGTCAGCCAGCAGCACTTATACCAGGTTTGGGAATAAATCCTCTATCCCTGAAAGTGGATCTGGATGGTATAGCACAGTGTCCACTCTACCACTCAACTCTTTATTTTGAGATGATGTAGTTTTAACTAAGTTATTGTTGGTTTAAAGAGTGATACCCTATCAATTCTATCAACAATTCTGCCCATGATATATATAGAATTATATGTGTGTATATATATAGAATTACCAATAATTCTATCAGTTATAATACATTCACTTGCAAGTAACAGAATATCTAACTTAAAGAAAAGGGGTGAGCTTGCAGGAAAGGATCTCAAAGTCATCCACATTTGGATGTAAATGGCAGATGGGCATAGAATATTTACCCTTTTTGGAAATAATTTCATTTCATAATGAGACCAAAGCCTTAAGCCAAAGACATGAATCTCAAATTATAGGGGTAGTCACTTTACAGGAACTGAAGAAATCTCATAGAAACTCTTGCCTTTTTAAAGACCAGGCTGCAACTGTGGGCCCTTGCACCATCCATGAGTCCTGCAGAGTGGACAGCTCTCTTGACAAGAAGACAGAGATTCAGGAGGCTTAGTGAGACAAGCTAGAATCCTGCACCATCTCATCTTCCATATCTATAGCACCCTGTGTTGCAGACCTGCCAAACTATTGTTTAACCCACATCTGCTCGCTCTTGACATGGAACACTGGTTACTATTGTTTTTCCCTTCGCCTTGATATTCTTTCTTTCTGTAGTGGATATTCTCTGTTAGTGGCCACACAACAACATCAAATATTTTCTCTCATTTTAGTAATTTTCCATATTATGAGTATGACTTTCTCAGAAAACTTGCATGGTCAGATTCCCTTAAAGCTAGGGTGCAAATGTGTGACCGATCTTCTATTAATCGTTATGTGTCCACATGGTCAGATTTCTCCAAGTGCAGTGTGTGAGGAGGTGGCCACAGAAAGCAAGACTGATCTTTTGGCATAAGTGGTGTCAGAAGTGTCAGGTTCTACTAGTAACAGGACTTCTGGCACTAGCTCCTGAGTATCATAAGTACTAAATAACAGTGGCAGTAATGTACTCAGAAAAGCCTCCCCCACCCCAAAGTGTGTCTGGATACTGTCTTTGACGATGTGCCCTCAGAGTCTGGCCCCTCATCCTCCAAGCAAGTCTGTGAACTATCTGTTATCCTTTAACAAGTTCTCTTTCTTTTTCTTTTTTTTTTTGCTTAAACTATCTAGAGAGGATTCTATTGTTGGCAGCTAAGTCCCCAACCAGTATACCCCTGAAAGGCAAATGCAGTAAACAAAAACCCATATCAGCCAATCCCACCTTATGTGTATTAATAATACTCTGGAATTTTCACTTGTTAATATCCTGACTTCTGCTTTAAATCTATAGCCTTAAATTTGCATCTCATGTCTTATAGTCACTTTCTCTTTTCTATAGGGAAACAAAGAATATTAGCTGAATGACATCATTCAATGGCCCACATCATAGCGAAAATGATATTTCATGGTGTCAACAGAATATGCCTCAGCTTCACAACAAAGCTTTGTAATAGTATGAGAGCTTCGTTCTCTTTTCCTCTTGTTTCTGATCTGTTTTGTTTATAAGGCAAATGAAACTGCTAAGAGAAACATCAAAGACAAGGTATATTACAAATCCAAAATTGCAGCCATGGTCTTATCATATAAAATCGTATCATATAAACTCTTGACTGGAAATGTCATTTATGGTCAAACCAGATATCAAGGACTTGAATACCCTTCCCCTAAGTGAGTATTTCCCTGAAATGTTTTTAACCTTAATAGCAATTACTACTTCTAGCCTGATACCTGGCCCACAGGGAGACCTCATGACTCTCCAGCCTTTCATGATTTAACTGAGATTGATTTTGAGATGGGGCAATGTTGTTGGGATTAGCCTTTTGAGAATATTTTCTGAAGTTTTCTCTTTTCAGAATTGCTCTAGGAGTGATATTGTGAACATTCACCATTGATATATGCTTTTGCTGCCATTGTTGTTTACATAAGTACTCAAAATTTTGAAGGGACTTGGAATGCCAGGTTTATATATTTTTAATTTAATGTTTTATAAATTTAAGTCAAAAGTTCCATATTTTCATCATCTTTAGGTTTTCAACGAAGAATTATAATAGGAGAATCTATATTTATGATCTATAGTAGATTGGATTAATTCCCTCATTTCCTCATTCATCCCTATATCCATGCCCTTTGCCACCTAACTTTGCAATTCCTCCCTCTAATGAAGGTTTTCTTAACCTCAACACTATTAACATTTTTGGCTGGGTAATTCTCTGCTGAGCGGAGTTTTCTTGTGCATTGTAGGATGTTTGGCAGCATCCCTGGCCTCTGCCTATAAGAAGCCAGTATCACTTCCCACTCCCTGCAGTGTTGACAACCAAAAATGCCTCCAGACATTGCCACTCTCCTCCCCTGGATGTGTGTGTGGGGTGGTAGTGGTGGTGGTGGTGCAAAATTGCCTTCATTTCAGAGTCACTTCTCTAAAGGTGGGTGGCTCTCCCACTAATTTTGGTCCCAGCTAATGTGACTTTCCTTGGCCCCGGAGGAGCTTGAAATACGCTTATAGTGAAGCTTGCTCTCTTGTGCATTTTCCATTGCTATAAGTAGATTGTCTCCAGGGCAGCTGCTCCCTCTTCAGCCTGGGCCTTAAAATGAGATATGTGGAGCACAGCCACCTCAGCTGATCCAAAGAAGTGTGAAGTAAAGGGACCCCAGCTACCACAGCCTGAAGAAGAGCTGCCTCATCCGACCTCAGACATGTGAGGAATAAATGCTATATGCATCTTGTATTCCACTGAGATTTTATGGTTGTTACACAGCAAAAGCTGACTGATACAGACCCCCTAGCAAAAGTAAAGTATATCCAACTCTTAATTATATTGAATTGGATTTTCCAGTTGCTTTATGTCTTGAGACTGTCCCTCACTCCTTGTTTCCTTTCCCTGATTGTACGCCATCTTCTGTGTCAAAGATGTTTCTGCTTCCTACCAAACTAATTCATTCAGCTGTCTTCTGAGAGCTACCTGTGACCACCTGGCCAACTACCCAAAATGAACGTAGGTGATGAATCTGGATTATTTGTCTTTATATTGTTGAATTTTATAGAGGTTCTTTATATGCTCAGGATACAAGTCCTTTGTCAGATATATGAATTGCAAATATTTTGTCCGAATTTGTAGCTTCTTTTCTTCATTCTTTTAACAGTGTCTCTTGATGATCCAAAAGTTTTAATTTTGATGAATCTATCACTCTTTTCTTTTATGGTTAGTGCCTTTGTTAGGTCTAAGAAAGCTTTGCTCAGATTGCAAAGATATTCTCCTACATTTTCTTCTTTATAGTTAAAGTTTTAGTGTTTAGCTTTTGTAGTTTAGCTTTTATATCAGGGTTATGATCTATCTTGGATTAATTTTGTGAATGGTGTGAGTTGTGGGTCAAGATTAATTTTCATCTATGTAAATGCCCAGTTGTTCCCTCAGCATTTGTTGAAAAGACTTTTCTTTCCCCATTTAATTTCCTTGGGTACTTTGTCATAAATCAATTGACAGTGTATGTGTGGGTCTATTTCGGGACTCAATTCTGTTCCACTCATCTATTAGTATATCTTAACGCCAATACTATGCTGTCTTGATTATTAAAATTTTAGTAAATGTTAACATATTTTATCTTATTGAAAAAAGTAGGGCATGAACTATATAATATAAGATTAGAACCATTTTTTAAAGGCATAAAAGTGATTGGAAAGAAACAAAATCAGATGAATAGATCTTGTCATTGTTAGGACTTTGGATGATTTTTTTCTTCTTCCTGCTTTTCTTTATTCTGTATTCTCTACAATAAGTTTATATTACTTTCATAATTGGGAGAAAAATTTTATTTTAAAAGATTTTCTGCTTCCCTCTGGTTAGCCAAAAGTCAGTTACAGTACTAGGTTTTTTACTGGATAGTTACTTTTCAGGCTGCCGGGTGCTCCAAATTCTAGATGCTCTGCTAACTTCAAGAACCTCTAAGGTGATTCCCCCAGGGACTGAGGTTGGGATTCAGGTGGGCTTCAGGCTTCTGTTCTGCCTAACATATTCTTGAGAGATGACTTCTGGGTTTAAACAAAGCTTAAAGATTTAAAATTTGAGGTAGCAAAGAAAGAGGAAGGAGGAAATCCATTCCAGAGCAGATATTTCAACTGAAAGTTGAATGCACACCAGGAAACACTATTATAATTGGATACTTCAGCCTTATTCCTTCTGAATTTCTAAAGCTTAGGAGGCATGAAATGCATTATGAAAAATGCTTCTTTCTGTGTTTAGTTTGGAACCTGGATAGGGGAAATAGAATTCTGTAACTAAGAATGCCTCTCTGCATCTTCTCAATAGCAGTCTCTAGTCCTTGAGTTTTCATGGTGGGCTATGCTGTCCCTGCCACTCTGGCTGTGCATTATTCCTCTCTCAACCAGACCTCTTTATTTACTCCTAAGGAGTTAGCCTTTATCTTGATAATCCTGATAATCCCAAGTTACTCCACCCAGACCTTTGCCTTTGTCCCCTCCTTGTATACTGCACAGTTAGTTATTTCTACTAGAGCTTGCTCTGCTACCATGACTCCCTACCCTCCTACAGTTCCATCCTTGACAGTGCTAGCTTCCAGAATAAGATTGTGCTACAAGGCCATGTAATATAGCCAACTATGGTACAGCTATAGTCTGTCATAGTATGGCAAGGAAATAAATTGGGTGGGGGTGAGAAGGGGAGAAGAATTAGTAAAAAAAAAAAATCAATAGAAACTGCAATCTTATAGAGAATCTGACAAATCAGGACAGCTTGCTTCTAAAAAGCATCACATTTCAGGACGATCTCATCTGGAACAGTGAGAACAAAGATACGGCTTTAGAAATATAAAGCAATAAAGTAGAATGTCATATAAGGGTGGATCATGTAGGGAAAATTTATGAAAGACTGAAATGTCTGGGTGTCTTCAATGGAAACTTAGGCTTTGTTTAGCACATATCCTTACAGGTTACCTGATTTGATGAGGTTTGCACCTTTCATTGCCTTTGAGCTATTTTACAACTGTAAATTTAGACAGTTGATAGTAAAGCAAATGATTCTTGCTCATAATATGCAAATTAATTGTGTCCAATGGAGGGACAATTGATTTCCCCATCCTTGTCCCCCACAAAAGCACACAGCTCCGCAAAGCCACTTTTGTCCATGGCTAAATACCAAATTATTATTTTGAGTGAGGAACAAAAACAAGGGATGACTTATTCCACCATGATGCTGATGTCACTCTCCTGTGATGGTTTACATGGTTCCTGGATCCCATGTTTTCTATTTTTTAGGTTTATTTTTTATGAAGAGATTGATGGTTGCCTACCTGCCTAATATTAATTATTCTCTATGTCTAAGGAGAATCCCAATTTATTTGTGGGTGGCAGTGAGTCCAGCCCAAACTCATATTTCTCAGCCCACCTTATAGATAAATATGGCCATGTGACACAGTTCTGATTGTTGAAATATAAGCAGAAGCTGTTGGGTGAGGCTTCCTAAAAAAGTTCTTAAGAAGGTTAGGGTATAGGCAGTCTCAGCTGGTTTGCACATTGTGCCCTTTGCCTTTCCCTTTCTTCCTGGATGGGATGAAGAAGTGAGTCCTCCCATTGGAAGAGAATATATAAGTCACATGGACTTAATAATTTAGGTCTCTATAATTTAAAATTTCTCATTGTAAATTAAGAAGCTAGCATTCTGGTTCATATATTAGACTCCATGGACCTATTTAATTGGTGTTCACCTTGAGAGATAAACCCAATCTTGGTATATTTTCAAACTAATTTTCTTAGACTGCAAGATTGAGGAAGACTGTGATAAATTCATCACTTAGTGAGGCTTCTTAGGCATTAGACACCACCAGCCTCCCCCAGCAACATCCTGCACACATCAAGTTTTCTTTTGAACTTCTACAGATTATATATCCTCTATATTTGTACTGACAATACATAAATGCTCCACTGAACAAAGAATGGAATCTGACTCAAAGGCAACCCATGAGGAAGCACAAAAGCTTTCTTCTTCACAAAGCTACTCTATATTGGCTAATGATTTATTCAACCAATCATATTCTCTCTTGGGGAATTTGAAGGTGAGGCATCTACAGAGGGATGCAGATGATAGAGAAACACAGTAACAGAGAGGAATGCAGAGAAAACTGTAAAACTAAAAGCCATGAGGTAGGGAATCATGAATAAGCATAAATGATGAGTAAACTGAAATAATAGGTTGCATGAGTTGTGTCATATCCTGATAATGATCCATTTCTCTATGAAATTTGCCAAGACTACTTAGTTCCGTGTTTGTTATTTCCTCCTCCATCTTTACAGTCTATTACCTGAGATAATCTGAGTGGGCCTACGTGCCTTGCAACTTGAAAGCAACTAGTGTAATTATTTCCCAAATCTGTTTCCTCATTTCCATCATCGCTGCTTGCTCAGATGAAGCTTTCATTCTTACTCACATAGATGACTGGAATAATAATTTATAGCATCCCAGCTTTTACTCTTCCCTCATGTAACCTTTCTGAAACACAGATCTTCTCTCTCTGTCTTCATGAATAATGCATATGTGAGCAATGGCATGTCATATGACAGTGCTTCATGGATATAAAACAGTTCCACTCTGTCCCTGTGCACGTGCCCTGGAGGTTGAGAGTTAGAGGAGCCTTATTATACCCTTTAAGGAGGGAACTGTGGCCCAGAATTCCCTTTGCCTCAAGATGGCGGCACCAACCCGCTACGCAGAACCCATTGTGGAGTTCCGAGTCCACCTCTCTGTGACTTTTAGTTAGGTGGTGTGTGGCTGAGAGAAGGCTGGAATATGTTTCTTTCACTAAATGGTAACTTGTGGCAGTGTTGTTCCTTGACCAGTTTTCTTCACTCTCATAGCTTTTAAGAGAAGACATTTGATAGCTTTAGATTTAAGACCACATTTTCTGGAAATATATATTTGATCATAAGCAGTTATAAAATTTCTGAGTATACCACATTGAGGATTGATGGAGTAGAAGTGTAGGTATCCTGGAACCAGATTGCAGGGTTCAAATTCTGGCTGTGCCACTAACTAGTTGTATGACTCTGGGCAAGTTAATTCGTCTGTGAAAGAGAGATGCTTTCTAGAGTTATTGTGAGGATGAAATGTGTTAAACTGTGCTAAGTACTTATAATAGTACCTGGCATGTGGTAGTCTCTCAGAAAGTTTTTGATGACGTTATTTATGTTGTGGAAAGAATATTTTACCAACTCTTTCAATAATTATATCCTCTCCCCCCCAGCCCCTCGCAAAACCTAGATATGTACACAGGAGCCCTCAAAACTCTCTGGCAGTCATAGCCTTTTGAAACTTCACTTAGATACATGCTGAGTGCTTTGATTAGTCAATCTTTGAGAAATCTCCATATTTTTATTATGCAATTCAAATCCTGATCGTGTCCCTATGGGAAAGAATGGTCTCTTCTAAACCTTATGAAGTGGAAACTCCCTGGCCATGATATTTGCTTTTTTTGAGGGAACACCATCTGTTATAATTGGATATACTTTTTCAATAAATGAGGGTTTAATTTTCCATGTGGAAAGAGGACGACTGATGAACTGAATGTTACATCAGTCAGAAGTAACTTTTAAAAACTATAATTAAAAGGTATAACTTTAAATTTTAAATCATTCATTTGAAAGCAAAGGAGATTTCTGAAAAACAAAACTGTAAAACATTGTAAGATC